GGGGTGGGGTGGGGGGTGGGTGCGAGGTGCTCAGCAGCGCGCAGCTACCCTCCTGGCACTGTGTCAGAGCCAATCAGTAGCGCCTACTAGAAAAGGCCTGGCTCCAGAGGAGGCCTGTAGTTCTGGCTGGGCTGCGCAGCAGAGGTGGCTCTGAGCCCAAGCTGGGAAGATGATGCAAAAGTGACCCACCTGGAGCTGTGTCGGAGCCAATCAGAGGTGCCTGCTAGAAATGGCGCAGCTCCAGAGGAGGCCGTAATTTGGGCCGGGCGAGAATTGTTTTTTTCATCTGATAAAAAACTTCAGATATGGAAAACAATACATAAAATTCATCATCTTACCCACTTTTAATATACGGGTCAGTGACATGTAATTCCCTCACAGTGTTGTTCAGCTGTCCCTACAATCCTTTTGAAGAAGTCTTTTCATTTTGCAAAGCCGAAACTCTGTATCCATTAAACAGTAATTCGCCATTGTGTCTCCATTCCTGTTCCTGGATGCCGCTATTTTATTTCTATATAAAACTTGACTAACTTAGGTACTTGATGTAAGTGGAGCCATTCAGTGACTTTTTTTTTTTTTTTTTTTTTTTTTTTCAGGGGTGTTTACCACCTATCCAATATGGTTTTGAATGATTTTATTCTCTTTTTAAGATGTTTATAGTAGTTGATATTTATCTCTAATGACAGAATATAGATACCCAAGAAAATGCAAAAAAAAATCTTACAAGTAATATCATCTTTGGCTCTGAAATGGGTCTGTAATTAAACAGCATCTCTATATAAAATGGTTAAATGAACATTCAACACACATATATATGTATATATAATATTTATCTGTTGATACACATTTTAGTTGCTTTACCTTTTGACCTTTTATGTTATATATTATGAACATTATGTTTCAGAATTTCCTTCCTCTTTAAGGCTGAATAATTATGTGTATACACACACACACACACACACACACACATATATATGTATATATAATATTTATCTGTTGATACACATTTTAGTTGCTTTACCTTTTGACCTTTTCGCTGTTGTGAATGATGTAATCATGAACAACAGATGTACATACTGCTTAGAAGATAGTCATTAAAACTTATTACATATGTCATTATTGTATGTCTTTGTGGGGTTAACTACCATTTAAATAAGGAAAGAAAGGCATGGAAAATGTAAATAACTTACATTAATTATGTGTGCGCGCGCGCGTGTGTGTGCGTGTGTGTGTGTGTTTAAACCAAGGTCTTGCTGTTTTTTAGGCTGGCTTTAAACTCACCGTGTAGGCTAGACTGGCCTCAAACTCATGCTGATCCTCTTGCCTTAGCCTCCCAAGTGCTGGGATTACAGGCATGCACCACTGTGCCTGGCAACTTATATATTAAATAAATCAATTTTAACATTTTCACTAGTCATTAAATTTAAACCATATTAGTAAGGTGTCTGGCTCTTTTCTGTTTCCCATGTAGCAGTTGATAGGGTACTAATTTTATACTTTATCTTGGACAGAAGGCTAATAAGGTATTGATTTTTTTTTTTTTGGTACTGGGGATCCAACTCAGGCCCTTGCACTTGTGAGGCAGGAGGCAGAACCATTGAGCCAAATCCCCGGCCCAGTAGGGTGTTGATTTTAATTCCTTCTATTTATTGTAAATGTAGCTATGTCAGAATCATATGTCCTAATTAACCTGGCATATCTATATATCTATATCTATCTATATCTTTTCCAACTTGTTATTGCAAAAAAGAAAAAAAAGGAAAAAAGACAGATATTGTATTGATTGTACAAAAAAGTGTTCTGTAGATTGCAAGGGAAAAAAAGGGCAAATGTTCGATAGATTGCACTTACTACTTACTATTTTTTTCTTTCTATAATACTGGGAATTTGGTTGTTTATTTTGAATTTCTAAATTAAAATACCTTAGCCAGGCCTCCTGGCACATGTTTGTAATCCTAGTACTTGAGAGGCTAAGGCAAGAGGATCACTACAAGTTCAAGGCCAGGCTGGGCTACATAGTGAATTGAAGGCTAACTGGAGTACACAGGGAGATCTTGTCTCAAAAAACTAAAACAAAACAAAAAAAACTCTCCCCCCTTAATACACAATGCCTTAAGTGGTTTTTGTCATATTGATCCTATATTTGCTATTAAAGTTACATATATATGTTTTTTCCTAGTGGAAAAGAAGCCTAAGAAATAAAGTCATCTGTTTAGACCATAAAAATAAAAAAAGTATCCATGGGCGTTCTGTCACTTCTAAGTCATCATCAGAAAGGTAAGGTGTTGTGTGTGTGTGTGTTTGTGTGTGCATGCATGCACATGTGCGCGTGTGTGTCTGTATCTTGTCTGGTCTGTCTGTATATATGTATGTATGACATACCATGGGCTTGTATTTTGCATAAATGATATGACGAAGAATGATTCACTTAATCTTGTTTGGTCTCAGGTTCTACAGAATTTAAAGTAGAAGTGTTGAACTCAGTGGCCTTTAAGGTTCCTTCTAATCTCTAACTTTCTGTGATTCTAACTCCTTTTTTTAATGCATTTGGAAAATCTTGGTAAGCTTTATCTAGTAAGATTAGTAGTAATTCTTAATTCATCTTTGTAGTCAGCAGTGAAAAAGATGCTCCATTTAGCAACTGTCATCCTATAGTAATGGATTAGTGAAATATTAGAAGTAAACAGGTCCAATTACTTAAATACAGGATAACCAAAAATTGCATATTTTTCATTAATTTTTATAAGATAACAGGAAATATAAAAATAATTTTGTCAAATTTATTCAGTAATTTTTCTGTGTGTGGTGTATCTTAAAAATTCAATACACAATGCAATGTTACAGCCTGGACAGTAGTAGTATCTAGTCTCTTTCTGAATTCTTTTTGCATTCTTTGAACAGCACACTATATATTGTGTTGGCCTTTCCTTTTTTTTTCTGTGGGTGGTATAATTTCAATAAAATATCTACTCCTGAAATGTAATAGATGTCCTGGGTGGCATTTCACTATCCTGTATTTTTCAATTATTTTGGTCTCTTAGACCTAATCTGAATTATAAGTGACTTTTTGAATTCAACCTGTTTTAAACAAATAACAAGTCCCATATTATTTGGTCTAAAACATGCACAATATTTTATTTTATTTATTTATTTATTGGTATTGGGGATCGAACTCAGGCCCTTGCGCTTGTGAGGCAGGCACCAGAACCACTGAGCTAAATCCCCAGCCCTACACAATATTTTTTAATAACATTTTTTCCTTGTTTTTTGATTTCAGGATACCTTGTTAGATGTTGGTTAATTCTGTCAACCACCAATACAATTATTATAATCATCGACCACTATTGGAATTTTTTTAGTTTCATTTCTTCTTTCAAGTTCTATCATTTTTGTTTTATGAATAGTTAACAATAAGGAGATGTCTTTTTTTGGTCTTTCCATTTCATAACAAACTTTTCCTTTCTGATATGCTAACATTTCTTCTTTGTTCAGTTTTTTGTTTTGCAGATCTTTTGGCACCTCCTGTTCAGTCTCAGTGTTCCAAATGTGTCCATTTTGTGTTATTAAAAAAAAAATCACTGAGTTCTGGAGAAGTATAAAATTACATCTGATGTACTTATGATAAGAGTTTTTATAGATTGTAGCACATTTCACAAATATGAATTAGCAAAAGAAAATAACCAGAACTTACTACTAGATTTCACTAGAAATTCAATGAGAAAAAAAAAAAAAAGAAACAGCAAAGGTAAATACAATGCTCTAATTAAAAAAGTATCGAAAAAATAATCAATATAAAACAGACATATGAGTGTATCTCTGCAAACAAGAATCGACTGGTTGAAATGACTGACACCTGCGCAAGAGACACTCCGGTACATAAACACACTGCCTGAGTAATGCTTGGGGTAAAGTGTTAAGTGGGTTAAATATTTGAAAGATTCAAATTATAATTATTTTTGGAGGAATTTAGTACATGTTAGGATTAGACATCAATAAATGATTAGTAAGCTATTTTTAAAAAAAGTATTGACTTTCCTCTTTTAGCATAGTGAATGAAAATAAGTCTGTAGCAAATAAAAATTAAAATATTGGAAGATCACACAAATTTACAAGATTAGAGTCCCTGAATTTATTATGCCGGAGTATATCTGCAATCTGCTGTCTTATTTTCCCCCTTCAAATAAATTGTAGAAAATATAAAAATACATTGGTGATTTCATAGCAGTTTATAAAGCTCTTGATGTTCTGCTATGTCTGCACTGAGTGTGAGTTTAGATAACATTTTTTAAAAAAAATTTTTGAGACGGTGTCACTACACGGTTTAGGTTGGTTTTAGATAAACTCTGTACACTAGGCTGGCCTTGAACTTGCAGTGATCCTCCTGCCTCAGCCTCTTGAGTGCTTCTATTTTATTGGCCATTTGAATATACTGAATATTATATATTACATAGGGGGAAGGAGTCTACTTGCAGGAAAAGAATAGGGTGAGGGACTCATTAGGCTTTTTGGAAAATCCTAACTAGAAAATTTGCTGGAGGAAGCAAATTAAGAGGATCAGAGGGAGAGCTGATAAGGAAGCCAAGTGCCTTAAGGAAGTTAGCAGCTCCTCCCCACATCTAATAAAATGCAGGGGAGATGAAATGGGGAGGGGATTATATAAATTTTATTTAGTATATAAAAATATACATACCCATGTATCTACACACACATGTATGCATGTGTAAGACAAGAAAAATAGTATGTTTTTTCAACAGATGGTGTTTTTTATTTTATTTTTATTTTGTGATGTCTGGAATCAAACTCAGGACCTCGCGCCACTGAGCTAAATTCTTGGCCCTAGAAGGTGTTATTCTCATATGGGGGACCCTAGAAGATGTTGTATATCACAGAAAACCCACTACACTGCCTTCTCTAAGAGAAGAAATTGATAATGCGTATCCACAATCTCAGGGACCAAGGTTACCCAAGAAGCAGTTCACTATACTAAATAAATTTCTGGATGCTAATGGCTACTACTTTGAGCTCCTGTTGTAATTATAGGGGCCAAAGGTAACTTGCATTAATCTCATGTGGTCCCAATAAATTTAGTATTAAAATATTTGTACAAGTTTTTCTTTTCTTGAAATGTATGCATTTATATGGTGTGGACTCCTTATGTATGTGTGTATATGTATTCTCATTCTAGGGCAACTGTATTACTGCACTAGCCTCTTACTTAATCAGTAACTAGACCTTGCATGTAAGGTCCCAACCAATCAACCCATAAATCCGAGAGAAAAAACCCTGACAAGGACAAGCAGGCAAAGAAAAACAAATAAAGCTCACTTAAGAATGTGCCCATAGATGATGGTGCCAGGATTAGGTTCCTAGGTCTGGGATACATCTATGATAGTCCTGAGAGCTAATTGGTTACAACAAGTTCCAGGTATCAACTTAAGGGTACATGTTCCCCAAAGGAAACTGAGGAGAAAGGTCTACAGGTATTCACCTTTTTCAGTGCCCCCTGCCCCAGTACTCTTCATTAGGACACCATTTTTCTTCTCCTTTTCTCTTTTCTTTTTCCTTTTAAACTTTGTTCCATTAATTCATTACTGGTATGGAGTTTACAACCTCGGTTGGCTGTGGAGCAGTAATGCAGTACACACTCCTGGGTGCAGCAATCTCATAGATTAGCACCTGCACAGAACTATAGACAAATTCTGAAACAGTAGTACAGAAACCACAAATCTCCATCACGGCGATCCAAAAATGTTATAATATCTTAAAGGTACAATCACATTCCTAGCTATCGTTCATGGTTTGTGAAAGAAATATATATGCTACAGGTGACCAAGGGGGATTGAATTCTGCGTTTAAGACATGTTAATTTCTCTCCCTTCCCTTTCCTCCCCTCCCCTCCCCTCTCTTCTCCCTTCTCCCTTCTTCCCCTCCCCTTCTTTTCTTTTGTACTGGGGATCGAACTTAGGACCTTCTGTTTGCCAGGCAGGCAGTGGCACCACTGAGCTAAATCCCCAGCATAAGACATGTTAAA